CTGCACCACTATGAAGAACAGACTATTAGACTTGTCAGTATCATGGAAAGGAGGGTGGGTTGTGAACACATGGAAATATCACTGTGAGTTTACTTAAGACTGCAATGCAACCCTCCCAAACTGGGCATCTGAACTAAGGAGTAATGGCTAGTGAAAGTATTACTCCAAGCAGCAGCCATACAGAAAATCAGCTATGGGTATTTCCTTGAGATGCTGCAGAAGTGAGCTGTGGTCTGGTAGAATATAACCTAACATGACCTGGAAGTTCTAAATTGACCACCTCGTAACATACCTTTATGAAGTGTGGCACCCATTCAGATATTCTCCGAGTTGAGGGTGCCTGACCCTTGGATTTCTCGGCAATAGATATAAATAGCATAGGGGGCTGCCTGAATGGTTTTGTTCTAGTCAATTAAAATGACTCAGATATTAAGTCTTATATATAGTAGATAATATAACATATTTTATATGTTAACCAAATTCCCTTTAATGCTGTGCAACTATAAATTTAGTGCCCTCTTCCTATTAAAATTTCTCTGACCTTCAGTTGAACCTTAGTGGATAAAGGAAATATATATTCAATAATGGAATGTGTAATCTTTTCCCCTGTTTTTTCCCCCTTACCTTGCTAACATAGCCCATATGTCCAGGAAGGAACCCTTGGAAACTAATAAGGATCTCTATTATTATAGAAGTGTGTTATAATAAACCAGCCTGATTAATTGATATGAGGTTCTTATAATCCAATTATGTTCTGTGATAAGACATATTTGTTATCACAGATATTTTCTGTGATTTATCAAATGACCCACTGAAAGACGTTTTTAACTCATTAGGCTTGTTTCAACAGGTATTCTTAAAAAATGATTGCAATAGAAATCCCTTTAGTTTATCAATCATGTAAACTGCGATATCAAAAGAAATTCCATAAGTAATTAGGTAAATTGAAATATTAAAAACAAAACACATGGATTTGGGGAAAGTAACTTTTCACTCCCTGCAAAGAAATTTCTTTGTTTCACATCTTATAAAGGAAAGTTTTGGGTGTTAGTTTGGGAGTGAATAAACTGCCATCATTCTGCCAGTTACAATGAGAAATGTAGTCTTCATAGACAAATGAAGTAATGAGCATTAGTCTAATGGCTCCAGTGGAGGTTCCATCAGGCTAGTAAGCCTCACATTATGATTCCAAGATGGAGGGGGCTGTCTTATTGAAGGAAAAACTCTAAAAATACCTTTCACAAACTTTAACAAGTATGAGAAAAAAACTGGATGGTCTTGAATTGGGGGAAGATATGCGGAGACAGCGAACACATAATGAGCTTAACAACAAACCAGAGGTTTATAAGGATAATAGATATTGAATGATATGAGAGATTGATGTCTCTTATGGAGAAACATTATGCTGGTACGCCCAGGATGAAAAATGATCCAAGTTTGCAGTATAATTTGTCCTTGTGGATTGCCTTCTGCTTTGAATCCATATGTTTCATATATCACCAGAACAAGTCTTCTCCAAGTCTGTTAGCCAGACAGTTTCCATGCCATGAGGTGTAGTGACAACAAACCTGGATAATTACTCATAACAGGGAAAACATTTAAGTCTAGTAGAAGTGGTAAGTGATATTGCCAATACCGAGAATTTCTGATTTCTGTGAAACAGTCATGCGTGGACCAATCTAGAGCTATTAGGATGATTAAGGCCTTCTCCTGTTTGAATTCCTTAACACATATGGGATCAGAGGAATTGGGAGATAAGTGTATAATAGACCATGAGTCCAAGGGATTATGAAGTTATCTCTTTGAGAACCCAGACTCTCGTCCCTCCCTGGAATAAAACGCTTTGCATTTCTTGTTCTGTTCAGTGGCAAACAGATCTGACTGAAAATGGACTTGTTGACTGATTTTTTTATGAACCATTCATGATTCTGAGAAAAATGCCTACCTGGATGCTCTATCTGCCAGCATGTTGTATAGGTCTGTAAGATGCACTGCAGTTAGTGTTATGTTGTGCCAGATACACCAGTTCCATAGAAGGACTGCTTCCCTGCACAAGAGCATTGGTTTGGTTCCTCACTGTTTACATAAAACATCACGGTGGTATTGTCAATTCTTACCTGTACACTCATCTTTGATATGAGGTAGAAAGGCCATGTATCAAGCTTTACTGCTCTGAGCTAAAGGGTATTGATATGAAGGCATGCCTCTCTGACACCATTGATCCTGTACTGTAAATGTTGTTGAGATGGGTTCCCCAACCCAACAAGGAAGAATCAGTCACTAGTGACTCGTGTAAGGTGCTGGGAAGAACGATGTGGATCTATCCATGAGCTGAGGGAGTTCACAACTCCTTAAGAGATGCTTACCCCATATCTATTTTGTCAACAGCACGGAAATGGACAATCCAAAAACAGTCGACCACAATGAAAATGCAGTCTGGTCAATAGGGTCACAAGCGTACATGAAGCCATGGGACCTAAAAGCTGGAAACATATCCTTCTTGTAGTACACGGATTTTTATGAAGTTGATTGATCAACTCTATAATGTTCTTGAATCTGGCTGTGACAGGTATTCCATGGAGGTTCGAGCATTGAGTAGAAGCCCAATAAATTCTATCTTCTGTGTTGGGATTAAATGAGACTTTTTCACATTCATTCTCTGTCCCAGTTTGGAGAGCAGATGTACGAGGTACGAGGAAATCTGGTCTTTTGTGTGCTTTTACCCTACACTATATAGATTTCACAGGGAAGACCAGTGTTTCCCAAATTGGGGGTCCTGACCCAAAAGAGAGTTGCAGGGGGTCATGGTAGTGCCACCCTTACATTTGCACTACCTTCATAGCTGGGTGACCGGAGAGTGGTGGCTGCTGACTGAGGGCCCAGCTCCGCAGGCAGCAGCGCAGAAGTAAGGGTGCCAATACTATACCATGCCATTCTTACTTCTGTGCTGCTGATGGTGGCAGCTCTGCCTTCAGAGCTGGGCTCCCCGCCAGCAGCTGCCACTCTCCAGCTGCTCAGCTCTGAAGGCAGTGCTGTCACCAGCAGCAGTGCAGAAGTAAGGGTAGCAGCACTGCAACCCCCCTTACAACTCATTTTGGGGTCAGGACCCCTACAATTACAACACTGTGAAATTTCAGATTTAAATAGCTGAATCGTGAAATTTACAATTTGTAAGATCCTATGACTGTGAAATTGACCAAAATGGACCCTGAATTTGGTAGGGCCCTACCAATAATATGTTCTTTTTCTTGAACAGTCTGAGCTGGTAGCTCTACAAAACTTTGGCAGACCATTCAGCAGACTAATTCTTGAAATGACTTATAATCATCGAATGAAGATGCCTGACGAACAGTCAGCCTCATTCTGTGAAGAAGACAGAATATTCTCTGGGAATGTTTCAGAAACTTGTTGCTGAAATATATACTCATACAGAAACTGACGAAGAAGAGAGTCCGGTTCAACAATACTTGCAGATTGCTGTGGTTGCTTTTGCATGACAGGCAGATCTGGGCGTGAATGAGATTTAACCCTGGAAACTGAAGCTGAGGAATACTTTGATTTAGGATATGACCATGGCACCAGCGAGGCCAAGCAGTCTGTCCATATGGATAAAATGAGAGTGGCCAGGATGGAGGAGTACCAACTAGGGTCTTTGAACTAACATGCCTATATTTTCCCACGCCTGACCTGACTAGCAAACATATATGGGTCATAGAAAGGTACCACCTAAAAAGGTAAGAGAGTGAAACATCCCCACTATCAGAAGACGAATACCCATCCTCCTGTAAGGTGGGAGGCTGCCCCTGAGGTGCTCAGAGAATTACTCACTGAATGGCCTTATCAAAACTATCATCCTTAGAAAGCATACCAGCTGACAGAAACATCTAATAAGGGGGAGTCAGGCTGCAGGGAAACAGCCAAAACACTGTGTACTTTGTACATTCTGTTTGCATATAAAAATCTAATAGAGTCATGCCCAAGCTACTACTAATTTTTAGTTCTGTGATCCATTCCTCTATCTGTTTGAACATTGGATGGAACACTGAGGAACACATTTGAATGTATTTAAGAAATTATTAATGATAACCAGCAACCTTGGATTGTCACATACTATTTTGTAGAAGAGTGTACACTGAAAAATAATGAACAGGTTTTTGCACTTAGAAAAAATGTTTAATAGTCATAAAATGCACCTGCACTCAGTTTTTGTCTTTGAAGTGTTCCATCAGAAAACTAGCCAGACCCAATCTATTTAGCTGTTAAAAACAATGAGATCAAACATGTCCAGACTATACCTTCTCCTCCCTCAGAATAGCTCTTTCCATCATCTACTCCCTCTTAAAATCACAAGGTGAACAACAAATTAATTCCCTTTTTTTGGGAGTGATGAGTGTGTGGAGGGTGATGAGATACCCCTAACAAAAAATAAAGCATCCTTATAAAAGTGTTGAATTATTCTCAATCACCGCATTTGAAAAAATACATATGGGAAATCTCCATGACAAAAATGTATTTGAAATGAAATTACTGAAACACAAGTAGTAATAAGAAATCTATTATATGTCTGAGGTTATTTTCCAGATGCAGTTATCATTAAAAATACTTGATGAGAATAGCTTTATACTGACCTAGTCACAATGCACCACTTAGGCAGTGAAGTTACTATAGTCTTTCCTTGCCACTTCCTCTCCCTAAAGTCTTCAAGCAATTTATACCATTTTATTCACATGATCTTGTTTCTCAAGTGATGGTGCTATTCAAACATAAGTAAGTTTAAAAAGCAAGCCTGTGAGCAAAAGCAATGTAGAAAACAAATGTATATCTGCCAGTGGATATATATTACCTGAACACAATCCCACACTGTTCGTAAAACAAAAAGTAAAGGCTGGAACAGCAGTAATAAGAACATATTTCTAACAACGTAATTCTGGGTAACAAACCCTACACTGGGAAGTACAAACAGTTGAAATTTATAAAAATAAGTTTTAGAAATCGCTTACTTGTGAGAAGTTCTCTTCTTCATCATGCTGGCAGACACTCCTGCATGCCCTGTAACAGAGAAAACAACACATAAATGATTGGGAAATGAACATATTCCGTTCATGCAGAGTGCTAAGAAAGGCTGCTGTTTTGAATGCCAAGATGTAGATGAAGTGCTGCAATTCTATGGGAGTTAAATATTGAACAAAAAACCCCCCAAAAATGTAAGTATTCTGAATAAAAATCCTAGAATTAATATACTTCTGGAGCTAAACTTGCATGAAATACACTTTTAATTTCTACTCAGATGTCAGATTAAAACAGATAGTGGTTGTGGTCAAGATCACCTGTATGTTCAAATTCCAAACACAACAACGGTGTGGGAGATTCCCACACTGGAGCCATTCTTTTAAGTGACAAATCTGAGGAACTGTCCCAGAATGAGGTGTCAAGAGAAGTAATTTTGGAACAAACTGATAAATTTATCAGTAATAAGCAACTAGGACCAGATGGTATTCATGTAAGTGTTCTGAAGGAACTCAAATATGAAATTGCAGAACTACCAGCCATGGTATGTAACCTATCACTTAAATCAGCTTCTGTATCAGATGACTGAAAGATAGCTAATGTGACACCAATTTTTAGAAGAGTCTCCAGAGGCGATCTGAGCAATTGCAGGCCGGTAAGCCTACTTTCAGTACCAGGCAAGTTGGCTGAAACTATCGTACAGAACAAAGTGATCAGATACCTAGATGAACATGATTAGATGGGGGAAGAGTCAACACAGCTTCTGTAAAGAGAAAATCTATGCCTCACCAATCTATTAGAATTCTTTGAGTGGGTCACCAAACATGTGGACAAGGGTGATCCAGTGGATATAGTGTACTTGGATTATCAGAAAACCTCTGACAAGTACTCTAAGCAGCCGTGGGATAACAGGGAAGGTCCTCTAACAGATAAGTAACCGGTTAAAAAGACAGAAAATAAAAGTAGGAATTTCATGATATCATTTTTAAGAAATTGTAAGCAATTCAGAAGTGGTACAGACAGAATGCCCAATTTGCCACAGCCTCTATGGCTTAATACAATGTCGTAAAACCAGTATAAAAAACCTACACGTTTCCTTTGAGGGTGACTGCCACACATTTGTTCTCTACCTTTTTCATCGCCTTTCCTGAAAGATTCCGAACTATAAGCAATTCCAAAACAATTTAACATTTAACTTTCAAAACCAGTACAAGTGAAAGGCTGTAACCATCTGATTGATGGATCCATCATTTCCTAAGCTCTTTACTCCTGAGGAGAATTCTGCACCACTGTGCATGTGCAGAATTTATGTCCCCTGCAGATTTATTTGCTTCCCTGCAGAAAAATTACTTTCTGACGGGGAAGGCACAAAAGCAGTCATGCGGCCCTCCCCAGCAGTATGTTTTGGGTGCTCCAGGAAGCCGACAGATAGGTAAATCACTGTGGGGCAGGAGGCAGGACTGGGGAAGACTGGGCTGGTGGCTCCTACCCTGTGCTGGGCTGGGGAGGATGGGGCTTCCTCTTCCCCTGCATGGCATCTGGGGCTGGGTCAGACCCACCCCCATATTACTCCCCCGGGTGCAGGAAGCTCTGCAAACTCCCCTTCTCTCCACCCCCCGATTCCTGCACCCATCATTTCTCAGCTGCAGGGGGAGGAATCCCTGTGCAGGGAGCTGCTCCCACATTCGCCCGACCTCCGGGCATCCAGACGCCTTCATACCCAGACCCTCCTGCCGAGCCTTACCCACCACACTCAAAACCTCCCCGAAGAGCCCCACTCCCCCTATTCCTGAACCATCCTGACAAGCCACCTGCACCTGGATCCCCACCCCACCTAGCCCCAACCAGTTGCACCTGGATCCCCACCCCACTGAGCCTCTTTCCCCCAGCATCTGGGCCTCAAACTGAACCCCCCACATCCAGACTCCCCTGCCGAGCTCTATCCCCAACACACCAACTCCCACCCCCTGCAGCATCCCATTCCTGTTGCATCCAGAACTCGCAACAAGTCCCGATGCATCAAGATCCCACGCCCAGATTCCTCCACTGAGCCACCCGCACCTAGACTGCCCCACTCAGAACCCTCTTAACCCACACCTGGATCCAGTCACATTAAGCCCCACCACACCTGAATCCTACCTTGCTGAGTGTGCCTGCCCACACAGAGGGGCAGGGCCCTAGGCTGTTTCTGGGGCAGGCCAGGTCCTTGCACTCTGTCAGGGTTGGGTGCAGCCTCACTACTGAGTCCATGTCCCAGGGAGGAGCTGCACAGTGATCTCCAACCTCTGTGCAGCCAGTGGCCTGTTCTCTCCAATTCCATGCTGGAGCCTCCACATTTATTTGACAAATAAAATTCGCAGAATTTTAAAATATTGTGCGCAGAATTTTTAATTTTCTGGGGTAGAATGCCCTCAAGAGTAGCTACTGGAGGAAGAATTCTCAGTATTTACAGCCATTCTCCATTTGCAGCATTTGGTTTTATCCTTACATAAACAAGACCAGAACCACTATTAGCTTATTACTATAATGTTATCAGTCTGTCTGAATCTTTTGTTGTTCAACTGAATTAGGGAAGTTACAGTTGCTAAACTACCTAATCTTAACTAGCAAAATATATCCTGAGTTCTGCTAGCATCTTGCAGACTTCCATAGTGTTGAACAAGTTTCAGAGTATCAGCCAACTATTTGGGAAGAAAAACACTTGAAACCACTCTGTTGACACATTGCCCTCCCCCACTATGAAAAGAGAAACACTTTTCATTACCACCACCATACATCTAAAGAATACACTAGCTGTGCTAAAAGATTAGATACTAATAATCCTTACAGATGTATATCAATGCAAAATACAAAAGTGTGCACACATGTAGGGGTAGAGGAAGGAAAGGAAGTGTTAAACACACATCCAAGTGATTTGCAACCGCATTTTTGAATCTTTAGAAAAAGTTGATAGAGGTTTACCAACTTCTTCCCCCAACCACCACAGGAACACATTTTTTTTGGTGAGATGGTAAGAACTAATCAATCAGTTATATGACAAACTATTTTTTCCATTTTACTAAAAAAAAAGTGCTTAAAGTATCCGGGATCTTAAAACATCAATTTCATAATTTTAAATTGACAGTAAAAATTAAGATGGATAATTGCCATTTTCCCAGCTTGCTTGATGTATTTATGAATTCCTAGTGGAAGATGGTCCATATGCTTGAATGTGAACCAATGTACTATGGTCTTAGATTGAAAATTGATCTAAAAAGGTGTGAAGGGAACCTATTTTCTGTTATGGTTTTTTTGTACTGCAGTAGCATGTGGGGGCTCAATCATGGACCATGTCCTGAAGCAGCTGGCATTGGCCACTGTCAGAAGACAGGATACTGGGGTAGATGGACATTTGGTCTGACCCAGTATGGCCATTCTTATGTTGGTAAGTAAGTGCTAACACTGAATCCCAGCAACGTAATCAAGGGCCAGATTTTCAGACAGACATGCAAATAGGCTGCCTTTGCACATGCAAGTGCTGCACAAATAGGGTAAGTGACTAATAAAATCAAGAGTAGATACAGCTGTTGAATTTCCCCCCTCACTGGAGTGATATTTAATGTTTAGAAGGTAATTTGTCCCTAAGCAGAATGATAGCTCTACGAGCAAAACAATAATATTCAACAGTCCTCCAATTATGTCAAGCATTGGTCCTTCAATTTTGCCCAATTCACTTTGGCAAGCTCACACTAAGTGTGTGAATAATGATAATCTTCTCTTTGTAGTGCACATTCCAGGACAAATTTATTTAAAATACTTTTAAATTGCTCTGGTGATATTTTGAGGCATATTTTATTTCTGTGTAAATCTTTTCTTTTTGCAAATTTGCCCTTTAAAAGTACTTATGAATAAAAAAATTGATGAAATAATTTAACATGATCTTAATCCTATTGCACTCATCATCACTTAAGGAAGACCCACAAATCTTGTCCTGCCAGAGTGTCAAATAAATTGTGCAGAAGAAATAATTTCTATAAATATTAATCAAAAACTACTTCTCTAGCTACTTTTGGATTATTTTAGATATAAACCTATTTGTATAGGTTTGTATAACATATGATTTAATGAGCCTGATAAACGCTTATAATGCTTGAAGCATTTTACAGAAAAGCATCTTTAAAAATGGCACGACAGTCTTCTTGTTTCCCTGCAAAGTATCATTTTAAACATTACTGAAAATTGGTTGGCTTTTGGAGAGCAAGGGATTCGATAGTACCTGATGTCTGTGGGTAAAGGTTTTGATCAAGGCAGAGTTTTGCTAGAAGCTGATGCTGTTTTAGTTTTGTTTCTTTAGGCACCTTTGACAGAAGTGTGTTAGATAGGTTTTCTGTACATTTTACTAGAAATCAAACAAGTGTAGTGCAGTTTGATCCTGTACATGCTTCCTCTCACCATTCCCAACCCTCAAATTAACACAATTCCTAATCCTCTCTTCAGCAGAGAGACTTTCAAACGCACTAAGTAGGGCAGCAGTTTTGTGGTGTGAACAATTTACATGTCAGTCACTGACGCTACTTTCGGTTTGAGATCTAAACAGAATTTAGAGTGTCATAAATATAAAGGGAAGGGTAAACCCCTTTGAAATCCCTCCTGGCCAGGGGAAAGCTCCTCTCACCTGTAAAGGGTTAAGAAGCTAAAGGTAACCTCGCTGGCACCTGACCAAAATGACCAATGAGGAGACAAGATACTTTCAAAAGCTGGGAGGAGGGAGACAAACAAAGGGTTTGTGTCTGTCTGTGTGCTGCTCTTGCCAGAGACAGAACAGGAATGGAGTCTTAGAACTTTTAGTAAGTAATCTAGCTAGGTATGTGTTAGATTATGATTTCTTTAAATGGCTGAGAAAAGAATTGTGCTGAATAGAATAACTATTTCTGTCTGTGTATCTTTTTTGTAACTTAAGGTTTTGCCTAGAGGGGTTCTCTATGTTTTTGAATCTAATTACCCTGTAAGATATCTACATCCTGATTTTACAGGGGGGATTTCTTTATTTCTATTTACTTCTA